GCTGTTTCTCAGCATACCACTGTTGTTTGTGTCTCAGCGACATCCACAGTGTAAGTCAATAAGCCTAGTTAAGATAGAACCCTAGTGTTTTGGTAAAGAGGTTGTCTGGCAATAATATGTAACGAGCAGTAGCTGTAGAATGGTTTTGGTGCATAAGCAATGTTAATGTAGTGTTTCCCATTCTACAGATTGTAAATTAAAGATACTTTTTTTTGCTAAAAGGATTATTATATTATTCATCGATTGACTATGACTTTTCAAATCACCCAGTATCTGCAGAGTTAGCGCAATGGAACCAATGGAATAGCCACAAAGGGGCAAGCCCCACGCATATAGCACTCCAGGCAAGCTCAATCAAAGTACTCAAAGTAACTCAAAGTACTTGAAAGAAACAAAAACTATTTGAATCGAGGTGTTCCTATACGTTTGGCCAGTAAATTCGAGTTGACTCATTCATGCATCATTACTCTGATATTGATACTCTTGCTATGGTATGATTTCCCTTTGCTGTATGTTTTCAAATTCTTTTTAGGTGTATATCATTGACTTAAAGGGCACTTAGCAACTCAACACTTTGAGAAATCACAGGAGAGCTCGAGAGTGTATATGAAAGAGAACAGTTCCCAAAAACTCAGTCCTCAAAATATTGAGTGGCTGCAAAGTGAATGGTTTATAGGAAAGTTAATCCCGCCATGTAAATATTCCTCTTATGCTCTCCAGACATTTGGGGGCCCCTTGACTCAGAGGCTGTCTGATCTCTGTTAATGTCATCATTCATCGACATCTAAAGCTTTGCAATTCCCCTGGGCTTGGCTGTTTAGTGTGGCTGCATTGAAAGGGTAGACGGATTGTCTCTCTCTCTCACTCTATCTTTCTCTCTCTGTCTCTCTCAACGGACGTTACATTAAAGTGTTGTTCGTTCTCGTCGTTTCTTCATTTTCAACAGATTGTCGTCTGAAGCTGAATAGCAAGGAAAACTCAGAAAGGGGGTTTAGAGATGAGTCTGCCCATTTTGTATTGCCCCTTTTTCTGCTCTGTCCTGCACCATGCACTGTCCCTAAATCCCCCCCCCCCCTCCTCCCACTTTTCCCCGTTTAACATTTTACATTCTAATTTTTAGGAAACAAGGCTGCACAATGCCTAATATTCACTGAATGTCTAAGATTACCATCTTGCAAAGTCAGAGAAACCTGCTAACTCCCAAAAAGACATGCTTCCCACTGGGCACAGACGTCAGTTCAACGACTAGTTTTAATTTACATTTGGTTTAGTCGTCAACTAATCTGAAACGTGAAATCAACAAAAAATGTCACCATGTCATTGGATTTAGGTTAAAAGTTGAGTGAAAAAAATACAAAATGCCCTTACGTTGATTACTTTTTGCATATCCAACCAGTTTTCCATGTTGATTCAACGTCATCACATTGATTTTTTTGGGTTGAAATGACGTGGAAACACCGTTGATTCAACCAGTTTTTGCCCAGTGGGTTCTGTCTAGGTACACTTAATAGTCCTGTCAGGCAGAATCAAATCTTGATTCAGTAGCTTATTTCTCAGGCATGGGTAGATGGATCCAGAGATCCTAGATATTATCCTTTCATACCCTCGGAAACCAAATAGTTTTTAACCACAGAACTAAAACCCTCCACCCCAGCCCCTCATTAGCCCAATACCTCAATGAAATGTGTGCCGTGTTTAGCTTCTTTGGTGGAATACTATCTGAACTACTAAATAACTATCTGAACTACTAAATGTTGGATATGTAGTCTTTTTGATGGAGGAAAGATGTTTGAGCCCACTGGAAGTAGACTGGACTAGTATGTGTTTCTTGTTACTTCAGTCTCACTCCATGTTCAAGAATGGCCTTTTTCCCTTTATTCAGATTACAACCTCTCACTTTCGGTTATTTGAAAATGAAATAATATCCAAAATATAGCTATTTCTTAAAACAAACCATAGAAAGTTGGTTGCAATTTCAGTTTAATCCACCAGAAAAGACAGAACAAATAATACAACAAATATTGTGGTTAAATTCAAATATACTAATTGATTAAAAAAAACATACTTTTTCAAAAAAAAAAATATAATAATCTTTGTAAATTATATTATAAATAGGACTGGTGGAGTTATGTCACACATGCAGCTAACAAAATTATATGGAAATGTCTGCTCTACCCATAATTACAACCAAATAATTGCAGCATTACCGCAAAAATGGAAGAGACAAGTGGAAGGGGGAAAAAGTAAGGAACTTGTCTGTCGACCCTGCATAAAAAAAGTATACCAGTTTAATTTAAGGACCAAAAAATGGACAGCTGTGCAATATAGATTGCAAAATAGTTGGGAAGAGATTTTCGAGGTACCGATTCCATGGCACATGGTTTATGAACTGAGACGCAAAATGACACAAGTTTCAAAACTTAAATTATTATACAAAATTCTTGCAACCAATAGAATGTTATATATATAGGGATACAACCTTCCTAGCTCTGCAGATTTTGCTGCGAAGAGACAGAGTCGTTAGATCATTTATTTTGGTCCTGTCCATATGTAGCTTGTTTTTGGTCACAGGTCCAGGAATGGCTGAAGAATTGCAACATTTACCTGGAGCTAACTCTGCAGATAGCACTACTGGGTGATTTGAAAAGTCATAGTCAATCGATTAATAATATAATAATCCTTTTAGCAAAAAAAATGTATCTTTAATTTACAATCTGTAGAAACTATGAGAATAGAAAGGTTCTGAACTTTTGTGACACATCACATCACAGTTGAAAAATATATGGCAAATAGAAATCCAATATGGATGGTGTTAAGAGATAGATGGGAGAGGTTGAATGGAGCTGAAGGGTGGGACTAATAACAACAAGACAACTAATGTAAAATATACTGTGTCCGTAAAATGTATATAAGTTCAGAACTTTTGTGAAACAGCACAGTAAAAAATATATGGCAAATAGAAATCAAACTGGATGGACATTAGAAAGGAGGAAGGACAGGACTAAAAACAAACAAAATATAACTTTTGTAAAATAGATTGTGTCTGTAAAATGTATATAGAATGTATAAGCTGGAAGTAGAAGCCTAAGTGTTGATGTTCATTCGTTTACTCCAATTAGGGGAGGGGTGGTAGGGTTAGTGGAAAATAATAATGGAAAATGTATTTTTAAAAGATAAGTATAAATATATGTGCAGTGCCTTCGGAAAGTATTCAGACCCCTTGACTTTTTCCACATTTTGTTACGTTACAGCCTTATTCTAAAATTGATTAAATTGCTTTTTTCCTCATCAATCTACACACAATACACCATAATGACATTTTTGCTAATTTATAAAAGATAAATAAAACATGTAACTTTTACATAAGTTTTCAGACCCTTTACTCAGTACTTTGTTTTAGCACCTTTGGCAGCGATTACAGCATCGAGTCTTCTTGGGTAGGACGCTACAAGCTTGGCACACCTGTATTTGGGGAGTTTCTTCCATTCTTCTCTGCAGATCCTCTCAAGCTCTGTCAGGTTGGATGGGGAGCATTGCTGCACAGCTATTTTCAGGTCTCTCCAGAGATGTTCGATCGGGTTCAAGTCCGGGCTCTGGCTGGGCCACTCAAAGATATTCAGAGACTTATCATGAAGCCACTCCTGCGTTGTCTTGACTGTGTGCTTAGGGTTGTTGTCCTGTTGGAAGATGAACCTTCGCCCCAGTCTGAGGTCCTGAGCGCTCTGGAGCAGGTTTTCATCAAAGATCTCTTTGTACTTTGCTCCGTTCATCTTTCCCTCGATCCTGACTAGTCTCCCAGTCCCTGCAGCTGAAAAACATCCCCACAGCACGATGCTGCCACCACCATTCTTCACCATAGGGATGGTGCCAGGTTTCCTCCAGATGTGACGCTTGGCATTCAGGCCAAAGAGTTCAATCTTGGTTTCATCAGACCAGAGAATCTTGTTTCTCATGGTATGAGAGTCTGTAGGTGCCTTTTGGCAAACTCCAAGCGGGCTGTCATGTGCCTTTTACTGAGGAGTGGCTTCCGTCTGGCCACTCTACCATAAAGGCCTAATTGGTGGAGTGCTGCAGAGATGGTTGTCCTTCTGGAAGGTTCTCCCATCTCCACAGAAGAACTCTGGAGCTCTGTCAGAGTGACCATCGGGTTCTTGGTCACCTCCCTGACCAAGGCCCTTCTCCCCCGATTGCTCAGTTTGGCCGGGTACCAAACTTCTTCCATTTAAAAATGATGGAGGCCACTGTGTTCTTGGGGACCTTCAGTGCTGCAGAAATGTTTTGGTACCCTTCCGCAGATCTGTGCCTCGACACAATCCTGTCTCGGAGCTCTACGGACAATTCCTTTGACCTCATGGCTTGGTTTTTGCTCTGATATGCACTGTCAACTGTGGGACCTTATAAAGACAGGTGTGTACCTTTCCAAAACATGCCCAATCAATTGAGTTTACCACAGGTGGACTCCAATCAAGTTGTAGAAACAACTCAAGGATGATCAATGGAAACAGGATACACCTGAGCTCAATTTTCGAGTCTCATAGCAATACTTATGTAAATAAGGTATTTCTGTTTTTTGTCTGAATTCATTTGCAAACATTTCTAAAAACCTGTTTTCGCTTTGTCATTATGGGGTGTAGATTGATGAGGGAAACGTAACAAAATTTGAAAAAAGTGATCCATGAAGGGAGGGAATAGCCAAATCATTTAAAAACAATAACTTGGGGCGGCAGGTACAGTAGCCTAGCGGTTAAAAGTGTTGGGCCAGTAACTGAAAGCTTGCTGGTTTGAAACCCTGAGCTGACTAGGTGAACAATCTGCCGATGTGCCCTTGAGCAAGGCACTTAAACCCTAATTGCTCCTGTAACTTGCTCTGGATAATAGCGTCTGCTATATTAGTAAAATGTAAATGCTTCGTGTACTCCCACTTGTTATTTTTGGATGCTGTATTTTTGCCCGACTGTGCACTAATGTTGTGTTTTTGTGTTCTATTTTAACTTTATAGTGTCAGCATTCTGATTGGTGCTCCCAAAGCTAACACCAGCCAACCGAACGTCAACGAAGGTGGATCTGTGTACTTATGTCCCTGGAGCCAGGGCCAATCGGATTGCAGTGTCGTCCACTTTGACAATGAAGGTAAGGTACCTGGCTGAATCACCTGGTGGAATTATTTGTGAATGAGTAGCCCTACCGTAGAGCTAACGTATCAACTATCCACTGTGTGATCCTCTCAGTTATTCCATCTCAGATCAAAGCCTTTGAGTAAATTCATTTTTTGATTATTTAACCTGTTTGAGAGGATGAGTAGAATTACTTTATTACTCCTTCATAAGAAAACAAGTACCATTACCATTCATTATAAAACTGGTTGTTTGGATCCTGGATGCTGATTGGACGAGCAGACACACCTATGCCTGCTAACAGTTCCATCTGAAAATTATCACTGCGCCTCCATAAGAATGTCATGTTCATGTTGCTGTCTGAATCATCTCTTGTATTTATCTCAACTCGCACATTATTTCCCCTTGCTTCCAGCCTAGCGTTTAGTTTGGTACAGCGGGGGTTAATATAAGCCTCACTGTCTGCAAGTCCGACCTCAGCAACAATGTTTCACTTTTGAATTTCGGATCTCTGCAGTACTGTACATAGAGTGAATGGTGCCCAGACGAGATGAAAAAACTTTTTCTAAACCAGTTGAAATCACGCATCAACGTCATTATCATGGATATATCCAAGTAAAAACCAAGAGAAAAAAAGCTAAAACAAACAAAAAATGCATCTTGTGTACTGTCATTCCAGGTTCAATGTTTGATGTGACTGAGTTAGCTGAAGTTGGCTAGCTAGCTAGCAAGTGACAAGAACGTTATCCAGCCTGCATACCAACCATTTTGTTTAGAATGGACGACCAGTCCTTTTGCGTCTGTAGCAACATGGCCAAAAGAACTAACAACCAGATTTTTGTCCGGACTATATATTTTGGTGGAAGAATGAAATTATATGAATTGACTCATCAAAATAAAGTTCCAATGAAAATATGTAATTCATTGTTATTTTAATATGTTGGTAACAGTTATATAAAAGCAATAAGGCTCTGCTATCGTGTCGGGCAGAACAACGGCATTTACCTGTGACTGTATTCATGATACAGCACTGCCTCTTGTGCCTTGTTGCTTAACTAGTGGTTACAACATGTAAAGCATTATGTCAACTGCCATAATGTGTATTTCCTTGTACAAACGTCTAATGAATTTCCGATTAACAATTTTAACATCAGGTGTCACAAAGGTTTCATACGTACATTTTACAAAGGCTGTATGCTGCAATGCTATCATAGCATACCTCCAGTTAAAGTTGGATTGTATATCCATAAAAATGTGTCTTCAGCCATTAAAGACTAAGGCTTCTATTAGTGAGCTCACTGGCTATGATGACCCTGAGGTTATAGTGGCAAACCTCTCTGTCAAGGCTTAGAGATTCTTCACCAATGGTGCTCTGTTTTTATTTAAACCATTCTTTGAAGTTTCTCCTACTGTGCTTAGTAGTGACTGAGCCCTCTCTCGTCTTCCCCCTTTCTAAGGCCTCTAGTTTGAGGTAAAGTTTAGTTAAAGCTCTGTATCCACTACATCCAGTGTCTCCACAGGTCCTTGGTTGATTTCCTGCCTGGCTGGATTGAAGCCCAGTGTTGTAACTTTAATTAGGCCAAAGCAATGGGCCAGGGTTCCAGTCTCGAACTCCTAGAGTTTTTCTTCGGGACTGCAGTTTAACTGAGGCCCGGACCAGGAAGACAATTTCCATACACGGCCACATAGAGTCAGATTTGAACATTCCTAATAAGACACTTTAGTCATCACCTTTGTGCACAAAACATCCATTGAATTATTAAAATAATTGTCACTGAGGCTGATATTACAATTTTATATTCATCCAATGTCTGCCATGTTTTTGGATAACGTGATGACGTCGTCGCTGCACACGCTGCGCCCTGTGCTCAATGAGTGCTAGTGCGCATGTGATGTTGGTTCGTATAAACCGGATGCAACCCGATATAGACGGTCCATGAATCAGCGAATGCGAACATGAGTAGATAACCTTGAGAACAACAGGCGGACATCTTGGACGCAGTCTCCAGTTGTTATTATACCTCAGTGGGCCAAAGTCATTATGGGGACAAGGACCCCTGGGCTGCCTACCCCTAGCTCTGCCTGCCAGTGAAGCGGTCACAGCCACATCAGATATAAGCAGGAAGTGATAAGGTCCACCGTTTGAGGATCAGAGAGTGTGTGTTATCACATACGCTCACACACATACTGTACATTACATAGACACATACAGACACTAGATACACATATTCAGACACACAGACATGCATGCACTAAAACTGGAAGCATGCATTCTCGTGCACCTAAACTGTTTATACGTGCACAGCTTACAAACACAAACTATGTACATGTCCACAGGCTTACATAAGCAGTCATGCCCACACACAAACACCCTCTAATATGTACACTCTCCAAATTGAAGACGCAGCTGATGTGATATGTGAATTCATGAATTTAGCTGACAGCTGTTTTACACAGACAGGTAGACACACACACACACTGCCCCAGGCCCTTCCGTTCCCGGGTTTGTGCAATGCACGCTTTCCCATGCAGGTCTCTGGGTTCAAAGGGCATAGTGTGTACTAACACAGTCCAGACTCCAGCAGCCAATCAGACAGACAGACATAGGGCAGGGGAGTGGTTAGGGAAGGTTAATGTTACTTGTCAAGTCCATGCGTCAGACAAATTAATAAAACCCACACTCCCAAGTCTACCGCATTAAAGGGATGGTTCATCCAAATTTCTAAATGTGTTCACATTTTTCTTACCTTGTATGTAGTCTATTGGCCAGGATTGACTGTCTGCAGTTGACGACTCATGCTTTTTTAATGATGAATTTGGGTGAACTATCCCTTTAAGGAACATTTAGGGGTTTTCATAGCAAGGCTTGTCCTCATTCGTGTTCATTCTCTCTCAACATTACTTAATATATACTGTAGGTTTGACCTACAGTAATGTTACCACCCAGAAATCTTGGGTGTACTCTCTCAAAGCCAGCTGCTCAATGTTTTTGTCTGTCACAGGAAACTGTTTTACCTTCCCCCCTTCATAAAACGGGGACCAGACTACGAAGGACAAATGTTTCGGTTACAGTAAAAACGCGTTCCAAGTCCTGCTGAACGATTTGATGTTTGCCAATAGCATGGTGGATAGATTAAGAGTTGAAACTCGGAGACAGAGGTTATAAAAACATCAATGCTAAAAACCCAAGGACACACATGGGATCAGGTTGAGACATAATTACAATAGACATCACTATGGTTATTTGGAGGTTTTGCTCTCAAATAAGGAGTCACGCGATGATATGTTGTGTGGTCCTTCCCCTACGACTCGGGAAACCATGCAGTTTATTAGCCTACAGATTCAATAAGTTATGATGAACTTCACAGGGTGATGAAAGTGCACAGTGATGAGCTTGATGCTGCTTTCCAATAAATATTGAGGGTCTTATTCTGGTGACATGATGATCGATGCTTGACTGCCGTATGACAAATAAAAATATTTGTAGACTAGACAACCCACACAGCCTACCCACACTGTATCTGTGAGCTGTTGGGTAGAGCGCAGGTGCCAATACCAGAGTAGGCACATTTGCTATTTAACACAATCGTTTTTGTGACAAAGCTATCGGTAGAGTTGACAATGCGATGGAAACCCATTGAACACATATTTTTTTAATGCAAATTCTAAAATATTCACATGAAAATCTGTCGCCAATTGGATGGAAACCTAGCTACTCTCACTCAGATATGCAAACATTTCTCTCTACCATATGGCAAAATGTGTAGAATTGCAGGAAATTAGCTGTAAAACTGACATTTATTATTTCCGACCTATGGCAAAATGTGGAGAATTGCAGGAAATTAACCCTAAAACGTAAATTTCTCTCCGCTGTCAAGAGGGGAGCCGCTAAAATGTTTTGCTCGCAAGGTGGGCCCCCCCAACAAAATGTCACTTAGGGCCCCCAAAAGGCTAGGGCCGGCTCTGACTGCATGTGTGGATATGGATATGAGTATGCAGACCCGCAGGCCCCTCATGATGAGTTCCATTTTTTTGTGGCCCCCACCCCATCAAAGTCACCCATCCCTGCTTTAGGCTATTACATTCATACAAGTATTGTATTACAAATGTAAAGGTGTGTTTCTTTGGCATCTTCCAGGAGATCGCCGTTTCCATGTCAATGACGTCGACGTCCAGGTGGAGTTCAAGTCCCATCAGTGGTTTGGAGCGACAGTGCGTTCCCATGGCAACACTGTCCTGGTAAGATACTATGTTCTGTGGGATAGAGAGGATTAGGTCAGAATCTAACTGTCCGGTTAGAAATGACCATCAGAAAACCAATACGGACTTGATTGATTGATGATTTTATGTGTATTTTGATATTGTTTACAAGTTCTACATGAATCGGTCTATTATTTGACTACTGTCACAAGTCGACCATAGCCCCAGTCATGAAATGCTTTTCACAATGTGTCAGTGATGCCTAGCAACATCTGACAGCATTGTCTTCCGTCAGATAGCACAACGGTGGTTTTAGAATGACGCCATCTGACGGAAGACAATGCATCTGACAGTTGATAGTTGAGTTTCTTGTGTGTTGTTTTGAATGTTAACCCTGTCTAACCCCTATACCCTTCTCTTGAATGTGTCCAAGGCTTGTGCCCCAAGGTATTACTGGAGAACAGAACATGACGCCCCCTTCTCTGACGCCACAGGAACTTGCTACCTCTCCGTGGACAACCTCAAGACTTTTGTGGAGTACGCCCCCTGTCGCACAGGTACAGTACTGCAATGACACCCTGATCCAAAATACTGCACCTGAAGTCAATTGAATGAAGTAGTGCCAAAGCATGCAGCCACGACTTTGAGTTGTGTGAGGGCTGAATCCTGACTCCAACTTTCTTGTAAATTGACCACTGATGTCAATGGGAGGTTTGTGTGTGCACGTTATGATACAGCCCTGGCTGGGCCATTTGGGTTGTGGCCTTTCAGTGTGACTCGTCAATGTCTCTTCCGTTTACCTCAGAGAGACATGGTCCTGCCGGACAGGGCTACTGTCAGGGTGGGTTCAGTGCTGACTTCACCAAGGTACGTTCAAGAGGAAAAGGAACAATTCATTAACAATTAAAAATAGATCATCTTGGGAGCTTTTTATATGGGTGCTTATGTCTTGGGGGCTGTTCCAGAAAGAAGGATCAATGAGTTAGCCAGCTAACTGTCCCAGAAATTCTGATAACTTAATCTTTTTGAGAAATACAGTGGGGGAAAAAAGTATTTAGTCAGCCACCAATTGTGCAAGTTCTCCCACTTAAAAAGATGAGAGAGGCCTGTAATTTTCATCATAGGTACACGTCAACTATGACAGACAAAATGAGAAAAACAAATCCAGAAAATCACATTGTAGGATTTTTAATGAATTTATTTGCAAAATATGGTGGAAAATAAGTATTTGGTCAATAACAAAAGTTTCTCAATACTCTGTTATATACCCTTTGTTGGCAATGACACAGGTCAAACGTTTTCTGTAAGTCTTCACAAGGTTTTCACACATTGTTGCTGGTATTTTGGCCCATTCCTCCATGCAGATCTCCTCTAGAGCAGTGATGTTTTGGGGCTGTCGCTGGGCAACACAGACTTTCAACTCCCTCCAAAGATGTACTATGGGGTTGAGATCTGGAGACTGGCTAGGCCACTCCAGGACCTTGAAATGCTTCTTACGAAGCCACTCCTTCGTTGCCCGGGCGGTGTGTTTGGGATCATTGTCATGCTGAAAGACCCAGCCACATTTCATCTTCAATGCCCTTGCTGATGGAAGGAGGTTTTCACTCAAAATCTCATGATACATGACCCCATTCATTCTTTCCTTTACACGGATCAGTCGTCCTGGTCCCTTTGCAGAAAAACAGCCCCAAAGCATGATGTTTCCACCCCCATGCTTCACAGTAGGTATGGTGTTCTTTGGATGCAACTCAGCATTCTTTGTCCTCCAAACATGACGAGTTGAGTTTTTACTAAAAAGTTATATTTTGGTTTCATCTGACCATATGACATTCTCCCAATCCTCTTCTGGATCATCCAAATGCACTCTAGCAAACTTCAGACGGGCCTGGACATGTACTGGCTTAAGAAGGGGGACACGTCTGGCACTGCAGGATTTGAGTCCCTGGCGGCGTAGTGTGTTACTGATGGTAGGCTTTGTTACTTTGGTCCCAGCTCTCTGCAGGTCATTCACTAGGTCCCCCCGTGTGGTTCTGGGATTTTTGCTCACCGTTCTTGTGATCATTTTGACCCCACGGGGTGAGATCTTGCGTGGAGCCCCAGATCGAGGGAGATTATCAGTGGTCTTGTATGTCTTCCATTTCCTAATAATTGCTCCCACAGTTGATTTCTTCAAACCATGCTGCTTACCTATTGCAGATTCAGTCTTCCCAGCCTGGTGCAGGTATACAATTTTGTTTCTGGTCTCCTTTGACAGCTCTTTGGTCTTGGCCATAGTGGAGTTTGGAGTGTGACTGTTTGAGGTTGTGGACAGGTGTCTTTTATACTGTTAACAAGTTCAAACAGGTGCCATTAATACAGGTAACGAGTGGAGGACAGAGGAGCCTCTTAAAGAAGAAGTTACAGGTCTGTGAGAGCCAGAAATCTTGCTTCTTTGAAGGTGACCAAATACTTATTTTCCACCATAATTTGCAAATAAATTCATAAAAAATCCTACAATGTGATTTTCTGGAATTTTTTTTCTGAATTTGTCTGTCATAGTTGATGTGTACCTATGATGAAAATTACAGGCCTCTCTCATCTTTTTAAGTGGGAGAACTTGCACAATTGGTGGCAGACTAAATACTTTTTTTCCCCACTGTATATACTTGAAATTAGCATGGAGTAATTGACTCGACAACCAACGACCTATATTCAAGTTTAGCTTTCTTAATGAATCAGGAAATCAAGAGATATTTTTGACTGCTTATCAAAGTTAGCTGGCTGACTGAATGATCCTGCTTTCTGGAACACCCCACTGTATGAATACTGTAAGCCACAAAAGACTTACAATTGAGTTTTATCTGAAAGCACCTGATACATATTCTTGATAAAAAGTTCTCATCAGAGCAGTCGTTTTTCTGTTTGTTTCAGGATGGGAAAGTTGTTCTTGGAGGACCAGGAAGCTTTTACTGGCAAGGTGAGTGCACTATAGGATTTATGATAGGACCTTATTGGGACCATATGTGGATTTATATTAATTGGTTCAACTACAGGACATAGAGATAGCATACAGTATAGCATAGAAAACCATACAGTGGGGAGAACAAGTATTTGATACACTGCCGATTTTGCAGGTTTTCCTACTTACAAAGCATGTAGAGGTCTGTCATTTTTATCATAGGTACACTTCAACTGTGAGAGACGGGATCTGAAACAAAAATCCAGAAAATCACATTGTATGATTTTTAAGTAATTAATTTGCATTTTATTGCATGACATAAGTATTTGATACATCACAAAAGCAGAACTTAATATTTGGTACAGAAACCTTTGTTTGCAATTACAGAGATCATACGTTTCCTGTAGGTCTTGACCAGGTTTGCACACACTGCAGCAGGGATTTTGGCCCACTCCTCCATACAGACCTTCTGCAGATCCTTCAGGTTTCGGGGCTGTCGCTGGGCAATACGGACTTTCAGCTCCCTCCAAATATATTCTATTGGGTCCAGGTCTGGAGACTGGCTAGGCCACTCCAGGACCTTGAGATGCTTCTTACCGAGCCACTCCTTAGTTGCCCTGGCTGTGTGTTTCGGGTCGTTGTCATGCTGGAAGACCCAGCCACGACTCATCTTCAATGCTCTTACTGAGGGAAGGAGGTTGTTGGCCAAGATCTTGCGATACATGGCCCCATCCATCCTCCCCTCAATACGGTGCAGTCGTCCTGTCCCCTTTGCAGAAAAACATCCCCAAAGAATGATGGTTCCACCTCCATGCTTCATGGTTGGGATGGTGTTCTTGGGGTTGTACTCATCCTTCTTCTTCCTCCAAACACGGAGAGTGGAGTTTAGACCAAAAAGCTCTATTTTTGTCTCATCAGACCACATGACCTTCTCCCATTCCTCCTCTGGATCATCCAGATGGTCAGTGTCTTTTATACAGGTAACGAGTTCAAACAGGTGCAGTTAATACAGGTAATGAGTGGAGAACAGGAGGGCTTCTTAAAGAAAAACAAACAGGTCTGTGAGAGCCTGAATTCTTACTGGTTGGTAGGTGATCAAATACTTATGTCATGCAATAAAATGCTAATTAATTACTTAAAAATCATACAATGTGATTTTCTGGATTTTTGTTTTAGATTCCGTCTCTCACAGTTGAAGTGTACCTATGATAAAAATTACAGACCTCTACATGCCTTTTAAGTAGGAAAACCTGCAAAATCGGCAGTGTATCAAATACTTGTTCTCCCCACTGTACATCAACTAGTTTTTCCCCCTTTTCTTTAAAGGCTGGGAATTCCCAATCTTTCACATTTTTCCTTTTTATTAGACAGATACAGTGTAGAGAGACACGAGAGAGATATATTTGTGTCAGCATAATGACAGAGTGGGATTAAAACCTGCGCAGATGCGTACATATGGTTTCCAAGTGGCGAAGTTACCCCCAAGACCAGTGGTTCTCAAACTTCTCCTCGGGGAACCCCAGCCGTTCCATGTATTTAATCCATTCCAGAGCTAGCACACCTGGTTCAACTTGTCAACTAATCATCAAGCCCTTGACTAGGTGAAGCAGGTGCGCTAGTTCAGGGCTACAACCAAATTGTGAAACGACTGGGGGTCCCCAAGGAGAGGTTTGAGAAGCACTGCCCTAGGTCTAGACCAGGGGTTTTACAAACCTCTCCTCTTGGATCCCCAGCAGTTTCATGTATTTTAACTATTCCACAGCTAGAAAACGGGATTCAACTTGTCAAATAATCATTAAACCCTTTAATAGGTGAATCAGGTGAGCTAGTTCAGGGCTACAACAAAATTGTGAAATGCTAAGGGTCTCCGAGGAGAGGATTTGAAAACCACTGCCCTAGACCATTCTCAGGGCCAAACTTCAACAGTCATTTTACTGCAGCTAAAACCCCATAAGACAAAGTTCAAAAGTCACGGCTTGTCTTAACCCCTGACATCTGACCCTTATCTCCATCCGTCCTTCCCACAGGTCAGCTTATCTTAGCCACCACAAAGGAAATAGTCAAGGCCTACTACCCTTCCTACTTCCTGCTCTCTGTTACCGGACAGATACAGACCCATCAGGTGCAGGGGAGCTATGACGACAGTTACCTAGGTGAGCATGGTCCACTTCTTCATAGGAGTTAGACAGAGGCTGCATCTGAAATGACACCCTATTCCCTTCACAGTGCACTGCTTTTGACCAGAGCACTAAGTAGTTGCCTTACCCGATTTCTCATTGCACTCTACTCACTGGTATTGACCCATCATTTTTCTCCCATTCTCTCTCTCTCTCTCTCTCTCTCTCTCTCTCTCTCTCTCTCTCTCTCTCTCACTCTCTTTCCCCCATCTCTCTCTCTCTCTCTCTCTCTGTCTCTCTGTCTCTCTGTCTCTGTCTGTCTGTCTGTATCTCTCTCTCCAGGTTACTCTGTGGCCGGCGGGGAGTTCAGTGGAGATAATATTGAAGGTGAGGGTCATATTTACAGTGTCGACTGACTCGCTTGCGCATGATTGGGTTTTGGGTTTGCTTACCCCATAGCTCTGTCTAATGGTTAATCATCGGAAGTCCATCTAAAGTCCCCTATGCTCTAATATACTCATGTGCTCTAATCATTAGAGCTCTAATCATTAGAGCTCTAGTCATTAGAGCACACGAGTATATCAGAAGAATATCAGAGCACAATGTAATAGTCTATTTATTACATAACATTGGAGTCTACTGTACTTAAGTAGCTCACTCAAGGCCACAACATGAAGATGTTCTGCTTATTTTAAAAGAAATGAACAACTTGCACGGTGCACTTGGCCGTATCATTTAGTTTATTAAGCTTTTAAGATTTCATAGAATTATTGCCACAGACCTGCAACAAGCAAACCTCAGCTTTTCATATTTTAAACACTGCTTATAATCAGCAATGTTTTAACCCCTCGGTTGTTCACATTTGGAAGTGCTTGGAGTCCTAGCCCTAGCTTGGACTCAACTCTTGAACTTCCTTTCTCTCTTTCTCATTTTCTGTCTTTGCAGATTTCGTCACGGGAGTCCCCAAGGGACTCATGCTGTATGGTTTAGTAAGGAGTCCTCACATATTTCATACATATTTCATCATTCATTCTAGATTAAAGTTAATGAGGGGTAACATAGGGATGACTTAAGGATGACATAGAGGAATGTTACTGTAAAGAGGAAGAGGGGGTGAGAGGACGCCAATAAATAAAAAGGGGAATAGTTTCAAGTTTTAATGTCACATGCACAAGTACAGTGAAATGCCTTTCTTGACAGCTCTAACCCCAACAATGCAGTAATCAATAAGAATGTAATACTTCTGGAAGTGAATTAAGAGAGGGATTTAAAGAAAGATGTTCTTATACAAGAATGATATGCATACATATTCATAAATGCATGTGTTACAACTAGGGCTGTTACGGTGACCGTATTACCGCCACACCGGCGGTCACGAGTCATGATGGCAGTCAAATTCCATGTAACCGTTTAGTCACGGTAATTAGGCTTCTCCAAGCTCTGATGCTGCTGATGGTCATTAGTATCCTACCAAACTTGCTAACTGCCTGGTACTCTGCACTCTATTGTCCCTCTAATCACTCTGACATCAATGCAAATGTTATCGAAAATCAAACACTTCATGGGAGCCCATTTGCTCATATTGCGCAACATTTCTATAGGCTAAAATCCCTTTTCCCCGCTGCGTGCTGAAGCACCTCTCACTCACATCACCCAGTCAAGTGATCGGGTCTTTCTCAAAGGCTACAAGTGAAGACAGACACATCTGGGACGCAACTGTGCGCGTCCTTATCCAATTCCGAGGTGAGAGACAGAATAACAACAACAAAATCCAGAAAAACGCATGTCAAAAATGTTATAAATTGATTTGCATTTTAATGAGGGAAATAAGTATTTGACCCCCCTCTCAATCAGAAAGATTTCTGGCTCCCAGGTGTCTTTTATACAGGTAACGAGCTGAGATTAGGAGCACACTCTTAAAGGGAGTGCTCCTAATCTCAGCTTGTTACCTGTATAAAAGACACCTGTCCACAGAAGCAATCAATCAATCAGATTCCAAACTCTCCACCATGGCCAAGACCAAAGAGCTCTTCGAAGATGTCAGGGACAAGATTGTAGACCTACACAAGGCTGGAATGGGCTACAAGACTATCGCCAAGCAGCTTGGTGAGAAGGTGACAACAGTTGGTGTGATTATTCGCAAATGGAAGAAACACAAAATAACTGTCAATCTCCCTCGGCCTGGGGCTCCATGCAAGATCTCACCTCGTGGAGTTGCAATGATCATGAGAATGGTGAGGAATCAGCCCAGAACTACACGGGAGGATGTTGTCAATGATCTCAAGGCAGCTGGGACCATAGTCACCAAGAAAACAATTGGTAACACACTATGCCGTGAAGGACTTAAATCCTGCAGCACACGCAAGGTCCCCCTGCTCATGAAAGCACATATACAGGGCCGTCTGAAGTCTGCCAATGAACATCTGAATGATTCAGAGGAGAACTGGGTGAAAGGTGTTGTGGTCAGATGAGACCAAAATCGAGCTCTTTGGCATCAACTCAACTCGCCGTGTTTGGAGGAGGAGGAATGCTGCCTATGACCCCAAGAACACCATCCCCACCGTCAAACATGGAGGTGGAAACATTATGCTTTGGGGGTGTTTTTCTGCTAAGGGGACAGGACAACTTCACTGCATCAAAGGGACGATGGACGGGGCCATGTACCGTCAAATCTTGGGTGAGAACCTCCTTCCCTCAGTCAGGGCATTGAAAATGGGTCATGGATGGGTATTCCAGCATGACAATGACCCAAAACACACGGCCAAGGCAACAAAGGAGTGGCTCAAGAAGAAGCACATTAAGGTCCTGGAGTGGCCTAGCCAGTCTCCAGACCTTAATCCCATAGAAAATCTGTGGAGGGAGCTGAAGGTTCGAGTTGCCAAACGTCAACCTTCGAAACCTTAATGACTTGGAGAAGATCTGCAAAGAGGAGTGGAACAAAATCCCTCCTGAGATGTGTGCAATCCTGGTGGCCAACAACAAGAAACGTCTGACCTCAGTGATTGCCAACATGGGTTTTGCCAGTCATGTTTTGCAGAGGGGTCAAATACTTATTTCCCTCATTAAAATGCAAATCAATTTATAACATTTTTGACATGTGTTTTTCAGGATTTTGTTGTTGTTATTCTGTCTTTCACTGTTCAAATAAACCTACCATTAAAATTATAGACTGATCATGTCTTTGTCAGTGGGCAAACGTACAAAATCAGCAGGGGATCAAATACTTTTTTCCCCTCACTCTAAACGTTCTCATCTGTTGTGTCAGGCTCATTGCTTAAAACAGGTTTTTTGATGCTAGTGGTTGTATTAATTTGGGATCTATCGCATCTCACAACTGTCCCGGACTATGTTTGGAATATTTATTTCTCGCACAGAATAGAATAGGTCAACTTTTGTACTATGGGGGATAGTATATTGACATAGGCTAGTGCTAGTGCTTTTGCTATTTGTTAGGCCTACTCATCTTGTTGGCTGACGAAAAGTAAATGTTGACAGTTCTTCCAATATCTTCAATATGCGCCTCGGAATTGGATAAGGACGCGCACAGTTGCGTCCCAGATGTGTCTGTCTTCACTTGTAGCCTGTGAGAAAGACCCGATCACTTGACTGGGTGATGTGAGTGAGAGGTGCTTCAGCACGCAGCGGGGAAAAGGGAATTATAATTATTATATTCAGGCAAGGGTATAACGGGCACTGGCCGCAAAAGGCATTGATTTTTTTAGGGGGATTATGGCCACACAAAGGGGAAATTCGAGGCATTATCAAGTGCTTGTCAAATTGAGAGACTGATGAAGTGTGTACAGCCTGCACAAAAAACTAAGCAGAGCTCATCACTTTCATGCAACTTTTTTCAAATCATCGTTAGAGTCCCATCATGCAGCATTAGAAGGTATTAAAATCTAAACATATAGCCCAACATTTGTATCACAACTAAAGTTACATTAATAACTCTAAATTAAGCATATAGGAGTACCTGTTTCTTTGTTAACTGCTCAACACAAAATAGCTGCATGTGCGCACTCCCTCAAATTATTTGGAGAAAATATCCTTTCTATTTTATTCAGCTATGTTCAATTGTATTCTTCATACTATAAAATAATGCCACGGAATTCTAAGCAAATCTTGTCTGCTAAATGAACTAGTGTAGCCCACAGCCAAATGGCATAGCCAGATCAGGGCCTAACATAAAAACAACGCATAGTATGCTATTCTGTTCTTCTGAAATAGACTACATTTTCTTCATATCATGTTTCTTTAGACCTGTCTAAAATAAATAATGGATTTATTGTGATGGGGTAGGCTATATTACATGGATGTATTATACTTTTTAAAAAGTAGATGTTCCAAAGGTCTGCATCAGTGGCTTGTAGGCTATGCGTGGAAGACAGGAGATGCTAAATATGATTATGTAAATTAATGGACAATTACCGTGAGACCGGCAGTTATTTAATATCTATTTTCTTGACATCACCGCCATAGCCCTAGTTACAACCAACAGTATTGCATGTCTTTTTCTTGATGGTTCTCCTACAATCATGGTTGATAACTGAAGGTATTTTCTGAACTCTCTCAATGCAGGTGTCCATACTCAATGGAACAGACCTGAAATCCATGGTGAACCTAACCGGAGAACAGGTTGGTGCAAATCTGCTTAACAGCAAGGGGGCTAGGCTATACTGTATTTTTGGCGCCTCTGTTTTTATATGCGGGTATATATAGGGGGGCTGAAGGAATTTGCCCCCAGGAGATAACGCTGTATCCCTGGGTCAGAGGTGAGCCCAGAAATGCCTATGTGTTCCATACGTTGTGAATCAGAAACAGAGGCAGAAAGAGCAGGCACGCAATCACATACACATGTAGACACACACACACGTATACACGTACACACGCAAGTACACATACACATGTGTGCGTATACACATGTATACGCATACACACATGCACACACAGTCTTATACACCTAACCTTGTGGAGACACAAAATTCAGTCCCATTCAAAATCCTATTTTCCCTAAACCCTAACTCTAACCTTAACCCCAAAACCGAACCTTAACCCTAATTCCTAACCCTAAAACTAAAACTAGCTTCTAACCCTAAACCTAATTTTAACCCTAACACCCCAAAAGGTCAAATACTATTTCTAGGGGGTTTAGGGTTAAGGTTAAAATTAGTGTTAGGGTTAGAATTAGTTAAACACGTCCACACACACACACACACACACACACACACACACACACACACACACACACACACACACACACACACACACACACACACACACACACACACACACACACACACACACACACCACACACACACACCCACACACAGTATTACAGCTATATGCTGACTCAGGCTTTTGTGTTGCAAACTAAGGGGGTGGGGAGCTTGCTTATGCCAACCCACCATTGTGCCAAAGGGTTTGGATTCCTCAATGGCTAAATTGCTGGGTGTGTGGATTAAGTGACATGGTTTATTTCATGTTGCTCCTGTAGTCTTCTAAATTCTCCATGGCTGATGAACTAATGTACATACATATGTCTGCGTTGTGTGTGTGCTTTCTGTGTAAGCTGCAAACTGACTGCTAACTGCTTACTGCATAGTGAGAATGATCTGAAATAAACTCCTGGCTGGATTTGACTTGACGGTCTCTTTAGGTTGACTACTCGCCACATGAGTGCTTGGACTGCACCGTCGGACTCAGCTGTGTAAACAAAGCTATGTAAACAATGTATCCGTGCCATACATTTACATATCTTTATGCAAGTAGCCATACCATGAAATTGATCTTGCTGGTTAGAGTATACTGCTGCGAATTCGGGGGGGTAGCCAAGACCGGGACTCCAACCCAGGTCCAGGGACTGTCAACCCAACACCTTAGCCGTTACGCCAAGAGATCCGAACCTTTTGACGAGGTCGCTAGGTGTTGGGTTACGGTAGCTACACTACAGTAGTTCTAACATCACTAACTCTCAGCTTTATAGAAGGACCACCATTTATTTTTTATTTATTTCACCTTTATTTAACCAGGTAAGCCAGTTGAGAACAGGTTCTCATTTACAACTGCGACCTGGCCAAGATAAAGCAAAGTAGTGCAATAAAAACAACAGAGTTACATATGGGGTAAAAAAAAACATAAAGTCAGAAATACAACAGAAAATATATATACAGTGTGTGCAAATGTAGCAAGTTATGGAGGTAAGGCAATAAATAGGCTATAGTGCAGAATAATTACAATAGTATTAACACTGGAATGCTAGATGTGCAAGAGATTATGTGCAAATAGAGATACTGGGGTGCAAAAGAGCAAAATAAATAACAATATAGGGATGAGGTAGTTGGGTGGGCTAATTTCGGATGGGCTGTGTACAGGTGCAGTGATCGGTAAGGTGCTCTGACAACTGATGCTTAAAGTTATTGAGGGAGATAAGAGTCTCCAGCTTCAGAGATTTTTGCAATTCGTTCCAGTCATTGGCAGCAGAGAACTGGAAGGAATGGCGGCCAAAGGAGGTGTTGGCTTTGGGAATGACCAGTGAGATATACCTGCTGGAGCGCAGACTACGGGTGGGTGCTGCTATGGTGACCAATGAGCTAAGATAAGGCGGGGATTTACCTAGCAGTGATTTATAGATGGCCTGGAGCCAGTGGGTTTGACGACGAACATGTAGTGAGGACCAGCCAACAAGAGCGTACAGGTCACAGTGGTGGGTAGTGTATGGGGCTTGGAGACAAAACGGATGGCACTGTGATAGACTACACCATTGCTGAGTAGAGTGTTGGAGGCTATTTGTTAAATTACATCGCCGAAGGGTCAAGGATGGTAGGATAGTCAGTTTTACGAGGGCTGTTTGGCAGCATGAGTGAAGGAGGCTTTATTGCGAAATAGGAAGCCGATTCTGATTTACTTTGGATTGGAGATTCTTTATGTGAGTCTGGAAGTTGAGTTTTACAGTCTAACCAGACACCTAGGTATTTGTAGTTGTCCACATACTCTAGGTCAGACCCGTCGAGAGTGGTGATTCATTCATACTGTACATTGTTGATCAGTCTGGTGAAGTCATAGCTGTGATATAAAACTCTTGACAATAGTTAATCATTTATGGCATAATATAGAATCGTCAAAGATAACAACACTGAGTGACCAATCCTCCCTCTCTCTCTGAGATGCCTATAGCAGCTTGAGTCCCCACCTCCTCCAAACGCCTACCTCCTTCTACCTTTCATGTAGCTTACAGAAGCTCTGGCACTGAGCTTAGAGAAAACAGAGAGGAAAGAGGGAGCCAAGGGGGATGGATTTGGGGGCCTGATTGAGGAGGAAGGGTTCTGGGTTGAGGGGATGTAAGAGAGAGAGAAATAGAGAGAGAGTGAAGGAGAAAGAAAGAGCGATACTATGCCCCACGGTGTGATTACATGCTAACTCTGTCTGCTTTAATGTCTTCCAGATGGGTTCCTATTTCGGCTACGCAGTGGCAGCCACAGACATCAACAACGACGGGTGAGTGAGGCAGCTAGTGGAGAGAAGGAGAGAGAGATGGAAAGAGAGAAAGAAAGAGAGGGAGCGAGATAAAGAGAGAAAGAAAGACAAAGTGTGCAAAAAGAAGGCAGGTATGGCAAGATTTGGACAGATAGACTTGGACAATGTATGCTAACAAGGGAGAAAGGAGAGAGAGAGATGGAGAGAGAGTAGGTGAAATACAGTATTTCAGAAGATCCCATGGTCATGCATTTCCCTCTCTCTCATGTGTCATGAAAATTCCTTGTCATACAGTAGCTACTCCTACACTTCCTTTCTCCTGCCTTCAGGTTCTCTATTGGCCAATTCCGCTTCACCTATCTTATTAGACTCATAGTCAGGAAACTCAGGACATCACACTCACTACACTAATGCACACTAGCTCAACTTTAGAGGCCTTGATTTGATCTAAAGTACTAGTCCATTGTAAATCAGCAGAAGTAAAGTTCATTATCTGGAGTTATTTATCTGTCCTCTCCAGGGCTGGCACAATTACCGTATAACCGTGTAACCGACGGTTTTGGATGAAGACCGTCATGAAAATAACCATAAAATATATATTCACTACCGTTCAAAAGTTTGGGGTCACTTAGAAATGTCCTTGTTTTCGAAAGAAAAGCATTTATTTTGTCCATTAAAATAACATCAAATTGATCAGAAATACAGTGTAGACATTGTTAATGTTGTAAATGGCTATTGAAGCTGGAAATGGCTGATTTGTTATGGAATATCTACACAGGCATACAGAGGCCCATTATCAGCAACCATCAGTCCTGTGTTCCAATGGCACGTTGTGTTTGCTAATCCAAGTTTATCATTTTAAAAGGCTAATTGATCATTATAAAACCCTTTTGCAATTATGTTAGCACAGCTGAAAACTGTTGTGCTGATTAAGCAATAAAACTGGCCTTCTTGAGACTAGTTGAGTATCTGGAGCATCAGCAATTGTGGGTTCGATTACAGGCTCAAAATGGCCAGAAACAAAGAACCTTCTTCTGAAATGTTTAAGTGACCCCAAACTTTTGAACGGTAGTGTATATATATATATATATATATATATATATATATATATATATATATATATATATTATGAACAGCTGACTGAATGACCACAATGCAGCAGTAGCACACATACATATAGTATAGTAGCACACATAGAAATAGAATGAATCGAATAGAACCGCGGTCATTTGGCTGGCCAATTACCGTCATCCAGAATTCCATGACCATCACAGCCCTACTCCTGTCCTCTCCTCCATCTCCCCTCACTTTCCCCCCACCCCATCCTCTCTTCCCTCTCTCTTCCCCAGGATGGAAGACCTGGTGGTGGGAGCTCCCATGTTCATGCAGAGGGGTTCCGACGGACTGCGTTGGGAGGAGGTAGGCCGTGTCTATGTCTACCTGCAGCGGCAGCCCTTGCTGTTTGAACCCAGCCTGCCCCACCTGGGGGGGAGCCAGGCCTTCGGGAGGTTTGGCAGCTCCCTGGCCCCACTGGGAGACCTCAACCAGGATGGCTTCAACGGTGAGCACTCTGGAAAAGCTTGGGTCATATTCATTAATGAACACTGTAGCAAAACATTTTGCAATGGAAAACAAACATGTGGATTTCTTATTGGACAAGTTCAGGTAGTCCCTCTCCTTAGTTTTCCCCATTTGATGCCTAAAGGCCACACATAAGAATATGTGATACATTTTAATCTTTCATGCAAGAACATAACTAAAATCAGGGCGGAGGGAGTGGGGATAAACCATTATGAAGTGTCATAACTCTGTTGATTATCTGTTGATTAACTTAGATATTGCCATTGGCTGTCCCTTCGGAGGAGACGACCAACAGGGATTGGTCCTCATCTATAACGGACATGCCAGTGGACTGATGGACACGCCCACTCAGACTCTAGCCGGCCAATGGGCCTCTGGCACCTTTCCCGCCAGTTTTGGCTACGCCCTCCGTGGAAACAAAGATCTGGATCATAATGGCTACCCAGGTAAAGGAGAAAATGGTTTAGTCCAATTGCTCAATTTTGTTTTAAATTATTTTGCCATTTCCTGTTTCAGAAGGCATCACATTGTTCTTGAATTAGTGTTAATCTTGTGGTCATCTTTGTACAGATCTCATCGTAGGTGCTTTTGGGGCTGACAAGGCTGTTCTGTACAGGTATATCCTCTCACCAGAAATTGATTGGCTCATTGTACATGAAAATTAGCTAGCTGACCAATTACACCCCTTTTTTGTATTTGTATTTTAATTAAACATGTACCTTAATCTGAAAGCATTGTTTTATATGTGACCTTTATGTAATTTTGAATTACACAATTATTTTTGTATTGGAATCAAAGCTTTTGATTAAGGTAATCATATCACGTCTTCCAATTGGTTGCTATTCTTCTATCAGGGCTCGGCCTATTATCAATGCCAGTGCTTCTCTTACGCTGCAACCTACCATGATCAATCCAGAGGAGAAGAGTTGTACGGTGTCCAATGGGAACGAGACTATCTTTGTGTCTTGGTATGTTGATACAGATGCGCTATCTTAATTTGACCATGCTTCTCACAGCAGGAAAATAATCCTGCAGCAACAGGAAATGTGAATTATTATGTGGATTATAATTAATGGACATTTTTGTAGGGTTTGATACGTTTTTCGTTAGGGCAAATAAAGTCTGAAATGTTAAAGTGTAAAATTCTCTGTGACAACAGATTGATCAAATTAAGATAGTAGATTTGTACATCCTTTTTCCTTTTCAAAGAAATCTGATTGGTTGAAACACTGCTGATATTCCATGTGTTAAGATCTTTGTGAAGTCAAGTTTAGCCGGTAACACTTCATGTTGCGAGTCCCCTTGTACAGTACACTGTACACTGTAGATGCTCAAAATATGTCAATTGTACTTCCGGACACCACCACTTTTATTGACTAGGATATTACTTTAGCCTCATACAGACCAACCTTGATAGGAGGGAAAGTGTCTTCAGCAACAATATAAATTCAAGTGCTATGGGACTTGGCCCAACACTGAGTCCAAGACATAATATGTAGTATATTTTCCACTCTTAAACCATGTCAATGGACAAAACGTCCGGTATTCACCACTTGATAATGTCAAATGACACCATGTTTGACAAGCTTTTCCAGTCTCCGGTCCAGTGTGAGCGTTTTATATTCTGAGCCCAAGCAAAGGGAACATTTCCCTACTTTTAGTCTCACAAAAATTCCTTCCATAAATTAAAGTAAAACATTAATTATTTTTAGACTCTTCAAAGAAAGTTACGACTAGTGGCTGGTATCTTGATATCCGCCTTTAGTACAGAACAAGTCGCTTTTGTTTGTGTCTTGATTACTGTTTATGTTGCTGGGAGACTTGGAGAGGCAGAGGGAGGAGTAGAGGTGGGGTGCTGTGGACAGTGGAAAGGGTGGAGAGGGTTGGCGTTCACTTTGAATTACATATTATTTGGCACACCAGCCTAGGACACAGCATGCATGAGGTGACACACCCACACACACATGCACATTCACACATGCGCAGGCAGATGACCATTGGCCACACAAACTCAAACACACACACACACACACACACACACACACGTGCACAGATTTACAGTGGAGCATATAGATGCTGTATGTGCATGCACACTCTCATAATCAAATACATTCTCTGCTTCTGCTTGAAACGGTTGGGTAATTTCTATAAATGGGGAATTGGGCTTCAATTCTGTGCAAAGACTGAATGCATTTACATTCAACGGTTTTAGCTGAGCATGTACCAATCGGATGAAACTTCTCAGAGATTTCTTCCTATCAAGTCAAATCAAATTGATTTATAAAGCCCTTTTTACATCAGCAGATGTCACGAAGTGCTTATACAGAAACCCAGCCTAAAACCCCAAACAGCAAACAACTCCCTAGAAAGGCAGGAACCTAGGAAGAAACCTAGAGAGGAACCAGGTTCTGAGGGGTGGCCAGTCCTATTACTTGATCATATGTTCAAACTTGAATACAAGATGAATAGATTTCCATTACGGGGTATCTGTTCAAAGGTAGCATTTTTTACATGGAATGCAACATTCAAAATGCAGTAGTATTGTATATTATCACCGTATGTATCAGAGATCTATATGGATCTATTGAATATACAGTATAGTGAAATACTCCCCCTCACTATATTCTGTCTGTCTTCACCCCCTCCAGTGTCAACCTCAGTTTCTGCCTCTCGGCCAATGGGAAGCACCTCCCTGCTGATCTAGGTGAGCCCAGTGTTTTCTTTTGGAAGGACCCCGACACAGCTGTTCCCTATTACCTTCCTTTGTATGGCCACAAATATGCCTGAACTCACTGTGGTCAATTTAGCAGTTATGATTAAGATAAAAGGACAATCGTGTAAGTACAGCGGAAACTTTGCAAGGTTTGTGAGTGCATGTGTGTGTTTATGTTTGAGTATGTGGCCGTGTGATTGTGTGCGTGTGTCTGCACGTGGGAATGGGTATTTGTAATTTTGTGTATTGTGTTAGTGTATCCACAATAACTGACTATGTAATTGCTTTAGTGTGTGTACCCATGCATAAATGCATGTGTGTTTTAATGGGTTTGTTTTTGTGAGTATAGTTCTGTGTATGTGATATGTTCTATCGTGTGTGTGTGTACGTGTGTGTAACCCACCTTGTGTGTGTGGTACAGGTTTTGTGGTGGAGGTACAGTTGGACCATCTGAAGCAGACCCAGAAGGAGTCGTCAGTGAGGAGAACTCTGTTCCTGGATAGCCACCAGCCCAGCCTACTGAAGACCATCTCCATGGCCAACGGAGGACGAACGTGTCACGACACCCGCATCTACCTGCGCGTTAGTCACTTCAAACACTCAAAGAAATGTTGGGAGACATATTATAAGCTATTAGGCATTTTAAAGGCTCGGACATGCTTATAACAAGTTATAAAGCATTAAACCTGCAGGCTTTAAGTGAAGTGTTACAGAAATGTTCAAAGACGCGTTGGAAAAATTGCCTGTTTATAAATACGACAATGATCCAATGAACTGTGGGTCTTACCGACCAATCTCTCTTCTCAAGGTGGACTTAAAGTTTGCGGGAAAATGTTGGCTAGTTATTTCGAATCCAGCCTTCAAAGACCAGTAAATTGAAACATTTAATGATACATTTTACAGTTAATCTTTTTTTGATTATAGTTTCTGAAAGTAAACATTTTCGCTTACGCTGTACATTTACACTGATCTGTAACATCTAGAGGCACACAGTGTCTTATCTCAACCAGTTAGTTGACAATAAGTAAAGTAACAGTTAAACACATCATGAACATGAGTCAGTGTAACACCGATTCACTTCCTCTTGAGTGTGTTGCTGATGCCGTTGCCCTTCTTTCCCCATGTGTGTTGCAGAGTGAAGAGGAGTTTAGGGATAAACTTTCCCCCATTTACGTCACACTCAACTTTAGCCTGGACCCTCTCGCTTCACTGGACCTCCATGGCCTGAGACCCATTCTAAACTACCAGACAATACACCTTATAGAGCAGAAGGTATGCATTAACTACGCTATTCAATTAGGAAACATTTTGGAATTGGAATTTCAGTTTATTTCCTGAATTGACTGAATTGAACTGGAATTGACCCCAACCTTGCCAGACATCACACTTTATAGAGCAGAGAGCGTGTACTTCCAGAATATCATCATATTTACTAGACCACATATCTTACAGTTCAGAGCTGGTATGTACACTACACTACTACACTACTACTGAATCTCCAGTCCACACAACGTATAGAGGGATATGAACATAGGTGCACTATGGACAATGTAGTCCAAAACTATCAGACTTCACCACGAACACACATGTGCACCATATCTATATCCCCCAATATCAACATTTTGCGCCATAAAGACTTGTTGAAGTAGAAAGGCATAAGGTCAGAAGTGGCCATTTTTTTATGTATTTCATATGGACGACCCTTCACTAGTGCTGGTCCCCATATGTCTAAAGGTTGGGGGTTAGTCCTGATACACAAAGCACGGAATTACAATATGTGGTAGCCATAGAGTTGGATAGACGGCACACCTGCTACAAAGCCTTTTTTACTTTACTTTAGATGAAAGCCTTCAATGGCATGCTGTCACAGAAGCAATAATGGCAAAGAACAGGGGTAGGCCCTCTTTCCAATTCCATGGTGGTAGCTTTTCCAAATTGAGAATAGAATCCTCAGGGGTAGGGGTGGTGGGTTGAGCAAGGATGGGGAGTCACGGCTATGCGAAAAAACAGAGGGAGAACTGACAGCTCTTTCTGGGTGGGGCGCTGAGGCTAGCCATCTGGTTGTGGTTTGTTTATGTATGTAGCCTGTGGTCTCCGCCATGTCAAGAGCCAGACGAGCCAGGCTTGGAGCACGTGCATGTGTTTATATATGTGTTTGTGAGTATAAGTATGTGTGTGTGTGTGCACATGCGTGTGTGCGTGTCTGTGTAAAGGTGTGTGTGTATAAGTATGTGTGTGCTCAGAGCCTCTCACTATTGGCAGAGAAACCAATACAACTTAGCTAGAACAGCTTTTAGGAATAGCTCGGACTTTCCATGCTTCCATTATTACACCGAAATATTTTTGCACTCTCTATCTCTCTCTTGCACTTCTCAACAATAAAGCTTTTACCGCCCTTTTTGTCCCACGGAGCTGGAGGGATGAAAGAACATGACATTGAGTAAGTGGGGGAGAAGAGAAGATAAGCAGGGAAGGGCAACCCTTGGTGTTTGTGTGTGAACATTACTAGTCCCGGTGCGCTCCTCCGTCTTGTGATCTTGTGCTGACTGACCGATTACCACATGGACTTGAGTGAACGATAACATTGGAGACTTTAAATGAGCCGTCGCCATGGAGACAGAGTGAGTGATCGCCATGCCGACTCTGCACTCTCGTAGAATTATTTTTGGGTCTAATGTTTTCCACATGTTGCTGCCGGGATGGGATAGTATTGTAACAATGGGTTCACAGTACACAGAGCAAGAGCAATGTTGGAGGAGGACAGAGGCGGAAGAGAGGGAAGGGGGATACAGTCTAATCGAATCATATTCGATTTATATTTTATTGTGGTTTGTAGAGTCTTTGTAGAGTCAAATTGCTTAGGAGGCCAATTCCTCTCCTCACTAAGCAGCAAGTCTTTATTTTTCACATTGGAGTCTGTCCTTTCTCGAACATCTTTGCTCTCCTCATTCCACCAAAACGAAACACTGTTTCTGTTCATTCCTTCACCCCTTCTCTCATTTGCGTTCTCTTTTTCCACCCTCCACTTATTCCCTTACTTCTCACACCTCTACCTCTCCCCCTCATTCTCTCATTTAAGGGGTTAGTCTTCATAAAACTTTATTGCTGTGGTAAATTGACCAGTGGTTGTTTGAAAACCAATGTAAATTGTCATAGAACTGCATGCTGTTTTGCAGTCTTAAGAAAATATACTGGTAGTAGGTAATAAGCTGAAAGTCTTAGTGAGTTGTATTAATGTCTTTCTTGGTATCACATAACTCTCTCGCTCTCTCTAAATCTCTCTCTCTCTTTCAGTAGAAGTGAGTTTTAGCATTCTAAGATGAGGAGTTAACTGAACATTACCTGAATTGTGCCAATAAAGGTTTTCTAAAAATCGAAATATCTCCCTCTCTCTCCCATTACCATATCTCTCTCTCTCTCTCTCTCGCTCTCGCTCTCGCTCTCTCTCGCTCTCGCTCTCTCTCGCTCTCTCTCTCTCGCTCTCTCTCTCTCCACCCTTCTGTTCCGCAGGCCCAGATTCAGCTGGACTGTGGTGAGGACAACATCTGTGTCCCTGACCTCAAACTGGCTGTTTATGGGTGAGCTGAAGTCCCCTCTCCATTACCTGAAACCAAGGCATTACTCCGGAATAGCCTACCTTGCTATTCTCCGCTCTCCCTCTTGACCTATCGATAGGTGAAAGGCCTCAGTAGGTCTTCAGCCTATTGCTTTCACCTGTCATGACCTCTCAAAGCAGTGGTAACCAATAAAGAAGAGTAGGAAAGAAACAATTGGATACAGACTTAAGTCGCCCTGCATTATTTCTGCCTCATGCACCAATTCATGTTGTTACTCCTATGACCAGAGAAAGTGAAATATTCCTCGATATAAAAAAAGACACGAGCCACAAATAAAAGCTTATCGAAACACTTTTACTCATTCATTGCAGCTGCAGCGCTGGTTGTAGCGTGAGTGGAAGTAGGGAGAATGCGCATTTTATGGCTTATAAAACTGTTGAACAAAGTATTGACAGTGTTGAATAACAACTTAAACATGAACTTACTCATAAAAACAGCACTTATTTACTGTATTCATTGAGTCTCTCTCTCTAGTCATGGTTTTAAACGTTTTTAAATCTCACATTATCAACTTTGCTGTGCGTTCAAGGATTATTTTTACTGTCTATGGCGCGAGGAAACTGTACACGGTGATCTGAGCCATCTGATTGACCAGCGGTAGGCCTATAGGTGCACTTGATTTGCTCTCTGGGACTGCCGGGTAGGCAGAGTTCTACCTTCAGACACATGAAAGGGTTCAAAATGGAAGCCCTTAGCCTTCCTGGCGCTAGGGCAGCTGAATCAAGTGCACCTACCACCAACAGCGCCAAAAAATATAATTATAATAGGAACGCAAGGCTTTATCGTTGGGGGTTTTACAGAAATGTTTGGTGATCGACTAGGAATGGCTTGGCGATCGACGGTTGGTGACCACTGATATACATGTATGTTTATTTGTCCTTGATTTAAGAAATGCACTTGTATTCCCAGGAGAGTAACCAAAAATGTTTTGTTTTGTTTTGCTGCTCATATCCTCACGACTCTTGACTTGCTCATGGTTATTTAATGGTTAATCAGTGTTGTTTGAGTGTAGACAACAGCAGAGTATGTTGCACTATAGGCTGAATGGAACAACTGGTGCCATTCACAAACTAGTAGCTCGAGTTCTTTTCTTGCTCTGTCTTGAGTAGTGTGTTGCACGACTTTGCCATGTGATTTTTGTTAGCGGCAGTGTACAATCAGTTTAAGAGTTTCCCATGGAAAACTGGGGAATGTGTGTATTCCGTTTCCACGAGACCAAGTCAGTCAAAAAAGCGTCTATGATTCAGTACTTTCACTATGCAGCTTCAACGACCTATCACCATTGAAATGTAATACACAGCTCGTTTTTTAGGACTTAAATTGTTTGCTTCCCGAGAATTCCCATGCGAGAGGTTGTTATGTGTTCACAACCTTGAGGCCTATCTCAGAGATAATTGTCCTTTATTATTGGTACTTTGTGTAGTACAACCTCTGGGTTCAATTATACAGTGCATTCGGAAAGTATTCAGACCCCATGACTTTTTCCACATTTTGTTACGTTACAGCCTTATTCTAAAATTGATTAAATTGTTTTTTTTTTCTCACCAAACTACACCCAATACCCCATAATGACAAAGCAAAAACATTTTTGTGTTTTTCTGTGCAAATTTATAAAATAAAAAAAAACTGAAATATAACATTTACATAAGTATTCAGACCCTATACTCAGTACTTTGTTGAAGCACCTTTGGCAGCGATCACAGCCTCGAGTCTTCTTGGGTGTGACGCTACAAGCTTGGCACACCTGTATTTGGGGAGTTTCTCCCATTCTTCTCTGCAGATCCTCTCTGTCAGGTTGGATGGGGAGCGTCACTGCACAGCTATTTTCAGGTCTCTCCAGAGATGTTAGATCAGATTCAAGTCCGGGCTCTGGCTGGGCCACTCAAGGACATTCAGAGACTTGTCCCGAAGACACTCCTGCATTGTCTTGGCTGTGTGCTTAGAGTCGTTGTCCTGTTGGAAGGTGAACCTTCGCCCCGCTCTGGAGCAGGTTTTCATCAAGGATCTCTCTGTACTTTGCTCTGTTCATCTTTCCCTCGATCCTGACTAGTCTCCCAGTCCCTGCCACTGAAAAACATCCCCACAGCATGATGCTGCCACCACCATGATTCACCGTAGGGATGGTGCCAGGTTTCCTACAGACATCACTCTTGGCATTCAGGCCAAATAGTTCAATCTTGGTTTCATCAGACCAGATAATCGTGTTTCTCATGCTCTGAGAGTCCTTTCGGTGCCTTTTGGCATACTCCAAGTGGGCTGTCATGTGCCTTTTACTGAGGAGTGGCTTCTGTCTGGCCACTCTACCATAAAGGCCTGATTGGTGGAGTGCTGCAGAGATTGTTGTCCTTCTAGAAGGTTCTCCCATCTCCACAGAGGAACTCTGGAGCTCTGTCAGAGTGACCATCGGGATCTAGGATAAGTCTTTTTTATCAATTATATTTGTATATTTGAGTTTAACCATAATATTTGCTGTAATATTTGTTCTGTTTTATCTGGTCGATTAATCTGAAATTGCAACCAACTTTCTATGGCTTGTTTAAAAACAAATTGTCTGGCTTGCCGTTCCAAATAAAATGGAATATTTTTTGCTCATATAATTTAAAAAACAATTATAAATTGATTATATTTCATGCACATGTTTGTCTGTATCTTATAATATCCTAAAAGCTTTGAATAAAATAAAATTTGACTTACAGTACAACTCCCTCTCCCACCACCACCTTAAACTTTTCCTCCTCTCGTAGTCTGTAGTGATAGAGTATCGATGTTGTCACTTCCTCTGACCTGGCCATAATTGGAATCATCTGTGTGGTCCTGGTGCAGAGTATGGGGACATTGTGTCCAGACCTCCGGTGGACAGAGGGGCGGATGGGAGGATGGGAGGATAGTGATAAGCCAAGGGACCGGCTCTCCCTCTTTCTGCTCAATAGCCAGCATGAATTTATTACTACATTCGGAAGTATAAGAAAGGGTGGTGGGGGGGGGGGGATTTATCACTACACAGGAAGTGCTAAATCGGACAGATATGTAGCAGAAGAAAAGCCCTGGAGGGGATATAAACCTGAGAGGACTGTTTGAGAGGACTGTTTGAGAGGACTGTTTCTATGAGTTTCAGTTAAGAAAGTGCCCCATCATTTAAAGAACTGTTGAATAATGGAACTTTAGAATCTTTGTGCTGTGTCTAACCTACAGGTTTTAGAATGTTCCTGTGACTCATCAAGTAAACAGCAGCGATGTTTCTAGGCACAACCCAGTTTTAAACCACAAACTAAGAGGATTTAGCTACAACACACTTAGGTGGATACCGGCTATTGACTGTAGGATACACACTTATGGTTACCACCACCATTTGGAAAATGCAGGATGCTTGGAGTCAAGTTTGAGACAACGTTGTGTGGTGTTTGTGTGTTTGCTGGGATAACGCTCCCCCCCATCACTGATATTGTGACAGACAAACATGTTCAGGAGCTTCATAGAAAACATGTAATTGATCTTCAAAGATGAAAGGAGATTATTTTCATCATGTTCATCATATGTAGACAACGCAATCTCCTTGAGAGACAAAACATCTGTGACATGTTTTGGGAAATGTCTGAAAAACGAAACAACTACCTTTGATTGTTGTCCCCCATGATTAAATCTGTTTCCGTCCGTTAGCATTTTCATTAGTAAGTTAGTCACACATGATATCTCAGACAATACTGGCCCGATTTTTACGAAACTTGGGTGAATGATGAGTCTTGCCATAAATATCTGGCATTTAATGCTAACTTTGAAAGGTCACGGCCCTCACCCCATTTCACCTAAAGTCATGAAATTCGGTACATAGGTCCCTCTTCTCACAAGGAACAAATTTGCCTCAGGGATCCCATAAGGTCGCCATGATGGATTTTCCGTCATTTAGAATTTTGTGAAAAACACTTCAAACGCTGCTCTTCTTGCACCGAATGACCGATTTGCACGAAACTTGATATGTGGAATCTATGGACAAAGGTCACTCAATGCAATATTTTCCAGACTATTACCTAAAACAACATGGCCGCTATTGACCAATAAACGTTCACGAGGGCGTGGTCTGGCACATAAATGCGTATTGTAACAAAATTTGCTACAAATGTTGCAAACACTGTCAAGACTCAACATATGCAAGAACATTCATATTGACCTATGGTAGTGCTATATCTCTTGATTTGTTTGACTCAGAGTGAAGAAATTTGGCACACATGCTCAGGTATGTGAGTCTAGCTAACCCATGCGATATCTCAGACACCACTGGCCCGATTTGAGTGAAACTTAGGTGAATGATGCGTCTTGCCATAGAGATCCGCCATTTACAAAATTACACTGATTGGCCCAATGGGGCGCTATTGTACTCAACTGTACATACATTAGTCACACGCGATATCACAGACACCACTGGCCCGATTTTGATGAAATTTGGGTGAATAATGCGTCTTGCCATAGAGATTTGTCATTTACAATATTGGGGGGCGCTGCATCATTGGTGGGGGATGACATGTTTATTGTTGCTTTGTTTTACGTTGTTGTGTTTTCTTGTGGTTTCCTTAGCGATAGGACGGAGGTGTATCTGGGTGACGATAACTCCCTGACCCTGACTTTCAATGCCAGGAACGAGGGAGAGGGCGGGGCCTACGAGGCAGAGCTTTACATGGTGCTTCCCCCAGAGGCTGACTACAGTGGTATAGCCCGTAACAATGCGGTGAGGGAGCAACCATCTGTCCTGTCCCTCTTAGGGGACATGCTAACTCAAAATAATGCTACTGTTAATGTTCATATACAGTTTCTAATGAAAATGACATTGCTAACATAATAAAGATACATACCTGCGCTAATATGAATGCTAATGCTAATCCACATGACAATGACCATAATTTAAGTAATATCAATGCAATAGTGATGATACTAACGATGGCCTGATGACTAAAACGATGGTAATGATATAAATGGTTTGAAAGAATTTGGAAATACTGTGAAGTGAAGTCTATGTCTCTCTCTCCATGTTTGTGCTTGAATCTCATAAGCAGAGTCTGACTCAGCTAACCTGTAGCTACGAGGCAGAGAATCAGACCCGCTATCTGGTGTGTGACCTTGGCAACCCTATGAAGTCTGGCACAAGTGTAAGTGGACCATCATGGACTAACTGTTTCTTAAATTCAAAGTCAAATGGAGCTTTACTGTCATGAAAGGAACAATCCAATGTTGCTGAAGCAATATGTTACTTCTGTCCTTCTGATTGTGGATTTCTGTATGTCTGTACAATTATCTGTCTTTACGAATGATGTTGTGTGACCCAGACTGATCCAGGGTCTGTTAATGACTGTGTGTGTGTGTGTTTATGACGGATTGTCTTTCTAACAGATCTGAGGTCAGTGTATCTCTAGTGTCTTTGTGGCTGATCGTGTGTCTTTTGTGTGGATCTTCACAGTTGTGGGCAGGCCTCCGCTTCACTGTGCCCCGACTGAAGGACACTTACAATACGGTGCAGTTTGAGCTCCAGATACGCAGGTATGTCAGAGTTGTACCTTCAGCACAGAAATTGTATAAACTATAAATTACTTTACTGTGTACTGTATTAATATTTAGTTAAATGTTGATGTGAGGTTGAATGTTTTTGTACCTCAATCCTCATAAATACTTCCATACTTACTCCCGTGTCCTGACTGAGCTAAGTTTAGGGTTAGTGGATAGTTAGTTCAATTGTTGTCGACAGTTAAGTGAACTTCCAATGAACATCTACAAACCATCTATTTGGCACAATCTAAATGAAGTGTTACGCTTCTCTGTTCTCTCTCCACTCAGTAAAAATGAGAATAGCTCCCAGAGTGATGTTGAGCTCTATGATCTTGAGGTGGCTGTGGTAGCTGATGTTATCCTACAGGGGTGAGTCATCAAGGATGGATGGATGGATAGACGGATGGATGGATAGATGGATGGATGGATGGACGAACAAACAAATGAATTGAATGGTCTCCATCACTATACTAATAATATACTCCCTGTTTAGCTACACTCAAAGTGACTGGGTACCAATATATTGTACTTCAACAGCCCCAGCCCCAATGACATTGTAAATAATGTTTCGGTACCAAGTTCTGTTGGGTATGTGTACTGCATCTTTTTACTATTTTCTACTTTGTCCTATGGTGTTACTCTCTCTCCTTTTCTCGATTGAAGCGTTTCTCGTCCGGACAAGCTCCTCTTCCCTCCCCCAAATTGGAGGATGAGCCACAGCCTACAAGAGGAGCAGGATATTGGGTCTGAGATCCAGCATGTGTACGAGGTACTCAACGTATTCCACTAGAGTTGATTTTGTGTTATTTTGTTAAGTGGGGTCAAGTGGAGTTGTAGGGTTAGGTGGTTGAACAAATACTTCTCTTAGCTTCCTGGTACAGTATGCTAACATGGGCTCTCTCTCTCTCTCTCTCTCTCTCTCTCTCTCTCTCTCTCTCTCTCTCTAACTCTCTCTCTCTCTCTCTCTCTCTCTCTCTCTCTCTCTCTCTCTCTCTCTCTCTCTCTCTCTCTCTCTCTCTGTCTCTCTGTCTCTCTGTCTCTCTCTGTCTCTCTGTGTAAGTTGGTGAACAACGGGCCCAGTATGATCAGTCAGTCGGTCCTGGAGCTGCGATGCCCTCTGAGAGCTCAGGGTCACGACCTTCTGTACCCTGTGGAGGTCATCACTCAGGGACCACTCAACTGCAGCTCCAACCACACCCTCAATGCACTGAAACTCAAGGTGAGGAACACACTTACACGTACACATGCATGGATATACGCAGGCAGGCACACACAATCATACTGGATGCACACACTTGCTCATACTATACGTCCACAGACACTTATCCTAGATACTGTATACATTCACACCCACCCCTAATAGATTGTCATTTATTTTGTGTAGTGTCACATAATCATTCACAGTATTTACGCCAAGGATGTGCAGTAGTCCAATATTACTCAAGTTTATGAGTGACAATGACCATATGAGTTTGTGTTATGTGTCAATGAGTGGAACAGTACATGTGTAGTATTCTGTGTGTGTTGCCAGCTCCAGCCTCCTACAACAGAACAGCCTCCCTACTCACAGACGGTCAGCCCTGAACACCACATCCAGAGGAGAGAGGTCTACAGGGATCCTCTGGCCGAACAAGGCAACTTGGTGAGACAGCTTTGTGTGTGTGTGTGTCTTGTGACCCATTAGTGGTACTTTTAATAGGTGAAAAAGGGTTAGGAGGTCGACTTGGTTTCTACAGTCACCTCTCATGTTTGGAGTAGCTTCTATTGCTTTTAGAGGAAGGGGTAAGTGGTGTTAGTGTGATGTTGTTGGCTTGTACTGTGAGAGTGAATACATGTATGGCTGAAAGGAAACCACTGGCCCAAACCCATAAATTACTAAACTCATTGTAGCTACAAATTCTTCAAATGGAAACATGACCATGCACGCACACTCACAGTCATCCACTGACAGAACTGACCATACTCTTAGTGGTAGTGCCTCTCTAGAGCTGTTCATCTGATCCCCATATAAAGATTCCGGGAGATGTTTTCTCTCCTTCTTCCCTTAATTGTCTCTCCTTTTACCTTTTCCTTTCTCTCATTTTTTCATTATTTTTCACTCGTCTTGTTTTTCGACATGCTTAACCCCATACGGAGTCAACAGTGACACACAGCCGCTGAGGTCTGTTGACTCTAAAAACAGTAAAACAGTAGATACCGGCTGTTAAATGAAGTCACTTGGCACTTAGCCCAGGAGCACAGAGATTATAGAGGATAGGGGTAATAATGAGTATCTTATGGGAGGCCTGTAGTTCACTAGCTTGTTAAATAGACTGGCCTCGAACACTGCTGGTGCAGCAATCATGTTTATTGGCCTGCCTAACCCCTTCTCTTCTTGAAGTCATTGTCTATTGTTCTTTTTACTTTGTTTGTTGTTTTTCATCATAATTCAGTCTCTTTTTGAGTCAAGGCTTTCGTTTCATGTCCTAACGATAGCCTTATGAGCTGAATTACCACAGAAAGAAAACACTAAGAACCATCCGTGGCTTCCCTAATACCACAAAAGACAAACTGAAAGGAAATTATTCTCTCATAAAAGGGATATGAGGATATCTATCATAATAAGATCTGCTCGTAATTATAAGTTATATAGAGTCGTTGTATGAGAAATAAACTTCTCCGAACAAAACAGATCAAAACAGCTGTCAAATCAAAACAGCTGTCAAATCAAAACAGCTGTCAAATCAAAACAGCTGTAAAATCAAAACAGCTGTCTTTAGTTTTTCCCCTTTATGCTCTCCACCCATTATTATTCAGTTATGCAATCATTATTCATTCCCTCTCTCCCCGTCATTCAGTATTCTGTCACTTCAAAAACGAATGACCACAAAACAATTATCAAACAAATTAACCATGGCTCCCCACTTTTCCCAAAGGGCACAAAACTACAACCTAGTATAATTCCCTTTCATTAAAAGCAAAGGGATTATCTCTTCATGGAGAACTTGAAGATACACTAAGTTTAGTTGCTAATTGTTTACATAAAATGTTGGCTTGAGTGATGCCCCAAAGGCAAACGTTCACAATAGCCCCTTACTGCTCATAATCACAGATTGTTAGCTATAACTGTTTGTGAGACTGATTGAATGTAATATGTTGGGGGTCTGTATTGATTACTGTTTTCCTTCCTCCATAGTCATGCTCTACGGTGGAGTGCTGGAGGCTGCGCTGTCATGTGGGGTTACTGGAGAGAGGAAGCAGTGTCATTCTGACCGTTCGCTCACGCATCTGGGCTGAGACCTTCATCGAGGTGAGAGAGCGCGACTGTAGTTTGTACTACTGTCATGTACCGTGCAGTACTGTTTCTATTAAATGGTCATTTGGATAGCACGTGTATATTCCGTTATGTAGATCAAATGTAATTGACCTTGGTACTAACAATCCTTATGATTATGTAGTCTTAGTACTATAATACTACTGCTATTATTAGTAGTTCAAATGAAGAATGAAGCTACTTCAGAAAGTATTCATACCCCTTGACTTATTCCAAATTTTTCTTGTGTTACAGTCTGAATTCAAAATGGATTAAATATACTTTTTTTTATCTCACACATAATACCCCATAATGATTTTTTTGGGTTGAAAATCTATTCAAAATTACATACTGAAATATTTCATTTACATAAGTGAAGGCACTGTAGGTCCTGCTGGTCTGTGGTACAATGTCGCCCTCTCCTGGTAGTACATTTGAAAAGCATATTTAAAACATTTTAGAGTATCCGTTTTTACAGTGAAAGGTGTTGGGTTTTTTGTACACACTTTGGCAATATTTGGCAAAGTAGTTTAGATGATCTATTGTCTCATCCTTTCTTTTCTTTGAACTAATGCCACAGAGGGCATACAAGCAGTATGTGCTGGAGTGTTCTGTCCAGTACGTAGTCAAGAACATGCCCTATGCCATCGCTCCCAAAGTCAAACCCAGTGGATCCACGAAGGCAAGTGCAATTTATTTATTAAACTGTTCATTTTTAGGTTTTTGATGGTTTATGCCGGTCCTGTCTGTATGATTTCTGATATCGTTTGACAAAGTGCACACAAAACATTTAAAAAACATTGTTATGAGTAATGTCACATTGAGATTTTAAGAATCCATTTTTTCCAAATGACCTCTCACTCCCCCACGGTAACAACATGTCATTGTGTCGCAGGTCCTGACTCCAGTGATGTGGATCAAGCCGGACAGCCAGTACACGGTACCACTGTGGATCATCATTCTGGCCATACTGGCTGGACTGCTGCTGCTCGCCGTGCTCATATATGTCCTATACAAGGTAAGTGTAGCGTAAAGGACAATGAACCCAACGGGCAAAATCACATGCATGTTACGTCATAATGACATCATTTTCTGCTTGTAAACAGTTTTTATGGTTGGGAATACATTATATAACCAGATAAAGATGTTGTCATAGGATAGACGTCATACTATTACAACCTGTTTCTGGTTGCTAAAAATACATATACAAAATCCCTTTACAGCCAGTATACAACCTGACCATGAGGTCCCATAAGAGGTCGTCATGATATCATTGCAACTGCTTTTGCCAGCTAGCGAGTAGCATATCGTTCTTAAAATAATATCTCAAAACGATAAAATAAGATCAAGATGAGAAGTGTTCAAAATGTACAGTCTTGAAAGCGGATGTTGTTAGCAAATAACCATGAACTGCAAACTAACTGAACTGGTACTATGACATCTATGAGGGCTATTCATGTAATTATTGACTTTGAAATTGTAATAAGTCTATTTTCTCTTTCCATCCTTCCAGATGGGCTTCTTCAAAAGATCCGATCCCTATGGTACAGCCATGGAGAAAGCTCAACTCAAACCCCAGGCTTCTTCTGAGGCCTAAACGATGGACCATCCCAGACGTCGTTTAGAAAACTGGAAAGTCATTGCGTTGGACTGAACTTGCAACTCCAAATGAACTACAGAATACTCATGCATGAAGGGCAGTCTTCAGCTAATGTCCATAGGATGAGTACCACTGGGACCTCACTGGCATTCAGCCTGGTACTGCACTGAAATGCTCAAGCAGGCAAACACATAATGAGATGTCTGGCCCGCACTACAACAGAGCTATCCTGAAAAATGTCATAATTTCTGGCACGGTTGCATGGACAATAATGTCTTTAAAATCCTGCTTTTTGCTTTGGGGAAATCTCCACCAAAGTAGCAACCCTGGCTGAGGCAATGGAGCGTTCATTCAATTGGTATATTCATCAAATACGTCTTTACTAAATCAAATCAAAGTTTATTGGTCACGTACACAGTTTGGCAGATGTTATAGCGGGTGCAGCGAAATACTTGTGTTACTAGCTCCTAACAGTGCAGCAAAAATGCAAAAACCTGAAACAAGAAATCACGAATGCCAGAACGAATCCAGTTAACAACCCAAATAACACTGTATCAGTAATCCAAATGCAATCTATGCATATACACACTAAAAATATATACTTAAGAACAGTGGAGGAAAAAGTACCCAATTGTCATACTTGAGTAAAAGTAAAGATACTGTACCTTAATAGAAAATGACTCTAGTAAAAGTGAAAGTCACCCAATTAAACGCTACTTGAGTAAAAGTCTAAAAGTATTTGGTTTTAAATATACTTAAGTATCAAAAGTTAAAGTAAAAGTATAAATCATTTCACATTCCTTATATTAAGCAAACCAGACACCACAATGTTCTTGTTTTTATTTATTTAAGGATAGGCAGGGGCACACTCCAACACTTAGACAATCATTTACAAACTAAGCATTTGTGTTTAGTGAGTCGGCCAGATCAGAGGCAGTATGGATGACCAGGAACTTTCTCTTGATAAGTGTGTGAATTGGACCATTTTCCTGTCCTGCTAAGCATAAAAAATGTAACAAGTACTTTTGGGTGTCAGGGAAAATGTATGGAGTAAAAAGTACATTATTTTGGAATAAAGGTAAAAGTTGTCAAAAATATAAAAAGTACAGATACCCCAAAAACTACTTAAGTAATACTTTAAAGTATTTTTACTTAAGTACTTCACACCACTGCTTAAGAATTATATGTACAGCAGTAGGCATTTGACCTACGTACCGGTAAATGTGGAGAGAATGTTGAGGAAAGTGTGCTATTGAAGGGAATCAGTGTGCGGCACAACGGTAACCTCCGGATGCTAGGAGCAGAAAATGACACATGGAAGGGTATCGGTCAAGGTAAATGTTTTCCCAATGTCACAAAACTCCCTCTATCCTCCTGACGTGTGGATGGACCACACATTGAAGGAGTGTTTGCTACTCCGAGTTGCCCTACTGTGGCCCGAATGGGCCATGCCTGACCCTGATGGCAAGCTTACGGCGGCCCACCATTGGCAAAGTCAGCGGTAGCTGACACTACTAACAGCTGCATGTTGACCGTCAGTTGGTCATTGCGCTGTTGGGCTGCTGGCGGTATACCACCATATCTGCCAACACGGGTGTGCTGCCTCATAGCCACCAGTTGTCGATAAAAGCTTGTTAGCTGGAACATTTTTGTTGTTGAGAAAATGCACATGGCCTTTTTGCTGAAACATATTACATTTGTCATGCAGTTCCTGATGCATTATGTTACTGTGCAACTTGACCACATTTGTAAATACACTGCTAGAGCTTATTAGATAATTATTACAGTTGAATGATATATATAACCTCACATCCACTAATCACTATTTATAACACATTGTTTGTGCATTCAACAAAAGGAACTTGGTCATACTTAAGGAAATGTTTTGTTTATTTTGAGGGGGTGAATGTTTCAAAGTTGCACATTTATAATTTCGTGAAGAGTACACTACTGGTCAAAAGTTTTAGAACATCTACTCATTCAAGGGTTTTTCTTTATTTTTACTATTTTCTACATTGAAGAATAATAGTGAAGACATCAAACTATGAAATAACACATGGAATTATGTAGTAACCAAAAAAGTGTTTAACAAATGAAAATCTATTTTATATTTGAGATTCTTCAAATAGCCACCCTTTGCCTTGATGACAGCTTTGCACACTCTTGGCATTCTCTTAACCACCTTCACCTGGAATGCTTTTCCAACAGTCTTGAAGGAGTTCCCACATATGCTGAGCACTTGTTGGCTGCTTTTCCTTCACTCTGCGGTCCGACTCATCCCAAACCATCCCAATTTGGTTGAGGTCAGGGGAATGTGGAGGCCAGGTCATCTGATGCAGCACTCTATCACTCTCCTTGGTAAAATAGCCCTTACACAGCCTGGAGGTGTATTGTCATTGTCTTATTGAAAAACAAATGATAGTCCCATTAATCCCAAACCAGATGGGATAGCGTATCGCTGCAGAATGCTGTGGTAGCCATGCTGGTTAAGTGTGCCTTGAATTCTAAATAAATCACAGACAGTGTCACCAGCAAAGCACCCACACACCATAACACCTCCTCCTCCATGCTTTATGGTAGGAAATACACATGCGGAGATCATCCGTTCACCCACACCGCATCTCACAAAGACATGGCGGTTGGAACCAAAAATCTCCAATTTGGACTCCAGACCAAAGGACACATTTCCACCGGTCTAATGTCCATTGCTTGTGTTTCTTCGCCCAAGCAAGTCTCTTCTTCTTATTGGTGTCATTTAGTAGTGGTTTCTTTGCAGCAATTCGACCATGAAGGCCTGATTCACACAGTCCCCTCTGAACAGTTGATGTTGAGATGTGTCTGTGACTTGAACTCTGTGAAGCATTTATTTGGTCTGCAATTTCTGAGGCTGGTAACTCTAATGAACTTATCCTCTGTAGCAGAGGTAACTCTGGGTCTTCCATTCCTGTGGCGGTCCTCATGAGAGCCAGTTTCATCATAGCACTTGATGGTTTTTGCGACTGCACTTGAAGAAACTTTCAAAGTGCCGTATTGACTGACCTGCATGTCTTAAAGTAATGATGGACTGTCGTTTCTCTTTGCTTATTTGAGCTGTTCTTGCCATAATGTAGACTTGGTCTTTTACAAAATAGGGTTATCTTCTGTATTGTTATCATTCACTATTGTTATACAATGTAGAAAATAGTACAAATAAAGAAAAACCCTTGAATGAGTAGGTGTTCTAAAACTTTTCACCGGTAGTGTATGTAAAATGCAGTGGAAATACGTTTTTCTGTAAAACTATTCTCTCCCATGTTGGGAGTTGTCATATCTTTTTCATAAGAAATAAATGTACCATTTTATACAACCCTATCCAAATACTTTTGAAAATATAAATGCTAATATTTAATGTGCTTGCTTCTCAAAGCAAGAACACTAGTGTTATTCGCCATACTTATTAGTGTGCCTTTAATTGCATTGAGGAGGAGGGAAGAAGTGCATACTTCTGAGTGAAGGGTGGTACCTGTGTTTGCATGGTACCTGTGTTCCGATTCTCCACCGTTCTCCCCGTCAAGGATTTAACAATGGTGGAGACTCACTCCAGCTAATGCTTACAACAATCCAATGCTTTTTTAATAGGGACGCAAGTTAAATTACATTTTCTTTAACTTTTTTGGATGTGGACGGGTCAGAAGCCTGCCCTGGATTTGATTTTTGTCTAGCAACACTGTTATTGGTTAGAAATAACTAGGTATAGGGAAACAACATTTAACTCAGAATATATGGTGCAGCACCTTGCTTCAGCTCTCACGATCAGAGGGAACAACAAGAGCGGACAACAATTAACCACAGTAAAAGTACAATGCCTCCTGAAAGTATTCAGACATTTTGTTGTGTTACAGCCTGAATTCAAAATGCATTAAATCGATTTTTTTCCTCACCCATCTACACACAGTACCCCATAATGACAAAGTGAAAACATGTTTTAAAAAATGTATTGAAAATAAAATACAAAAAAAGTATTCACACCCCTTTGCTATGACACTCCAAATGGAGCTCAGGTGCATCCAATTTCCTTTGATCATCCTTGAGATGTCACTACAAGTTGATTGGAGTCCACCTGTGGTCAAGTCAATAGTTTGGACATGATTTAGAAAGAAACACACCTGTCTATATAAGGTCCCACAGTTGACAGTGCATGTCAGAGCAGAAACTATACCATGAAGTCCAAGGAACTGTCCGTAGATCTCCGAGATAGAATTGTGATGAGGCATATATCTGTGGAAGGGTAGGCATATATCTGGGGAAGGGTAGGCATATATCTGTGGAAGGTTAGGCATATATCTGTGGAAGGGTAGGCATATATCTGTGGAAGGGTAGGCATATATCTGTGGAAGGGTAGGCATATATCTGGGGAAGGGTATAAAACAATTTCTAGAAGTTTCCAAGAGCACAGTGATCTCCATCATTGGGAAATTAAAAACATATGGAAGAACAGAGACTCTAGAGCCAAACTGAGCAACAGGGCAAAAAGGACCTTGGTCAGGGAGGTGACCAGAGTTCCTTGGCTGAGATGGGAAAACCTGCCAGAAGGACAACAGTCTCTTCAGCACTTCATCAATCTGGGCTTTATGGGAGAGTGGCCATACGGAAGCCACTCCTAAGAAAAAGGCACATGACAGCACACCTGGAGTTTGCAAAAAGGCACTTGAAAGACTCCAGGCACAGGTCATCACCCATCTAACACCATCCCTACCGTGAAGCATGGTGGAGGCAGCATCATGCTATGGGGATGCTTTTCAGCGGCAGGGACTGGGAGACTGGTAAGGATAGAGGGAACAATGAATGGAGCCAATTACATTTACATTTACATTTTAGTCATTTAGCAGACGCTCTTAACCAGAGCGACTTACAGGAGCAATTAGGGTTAAGTGCCTTGCTCAAGGGCACATTAACGTCATTTAGCAGACGCTCTTAGCCAGAGCGACTCACAAATTGGTGCGTTCACCCTATAG